TAACTGACTTGGTAGGTAGTAAGATGGCTATTTATATGTACAGGATGTTTAGTCATATATTCGTTTATTCCTTCAACAAATATTTGTTAGGGGAGACAGAGTCTAAAGTAATTAAAACATGAGGTAGCTTCACCTAGTCACTTGATGAAAATACATTATAGGGCAATGAATTTGAGAGTGATGGTGGAAGGAGGGCTGCTTTTAGACTACTTTTAGGTGGTCAAAGAAAGCCTCTGAGAAGAGACAAAATTTGAGCTGAGGTATGATTGATAAGAAAAAGAGTTAGCAATGTGAAGATTTGAGGGGAAAGAGTGTTCCAATAAGAGAAAAAAATAAGTGCAAAGGATTTGAGACAGAGGCAGACTTGATTCATTTGAAGAACAATAGGAAGACCAGTGTGGCTAAATGCATTAACATGGCAGGAGATGAAATCAGAGAGTTAAGAGTAGAGCCAACTTGTGTAGGTCCTTATAAGCCTTGGAAGAGTAAACTTTAATCTGAGTGCAGTAGGAAGTCATTGGAGAATTTTAAGTGGGGGTGTGACATGATCTAATTTGCTAAAAGCAAAACAAAGTACACTGCATGGAGAATGGATTTGGGGGAAGCAGGTCAAAATTGGAAGCACGGAGGCCAGTTAGAAGTTATAGTTATTATAATTTATTCTAGTCCAGGCTAGGGTAGTCCAGGCTCATGGTAGATGGAAATGGAACGAAGACAATTTCAATGTATATTGTGGAGGTAGAACAGATAGAATTTGCTAGTGGATTTGATATGTGGGGTTGGGGTGTGAGAAAAAGACAGAAATGAGAGATGTAGCCAAGATTTTTGGCTTGAGCAACTGGGTGGTATAATTTACTAAGATGGGAAAGGCTAGCAAAGGAGGAGTATTACGAGGGGTGGGGTGTTAAAGAGGAGAATAGGAGTTGTATTTGGGGCATGGAAAGTTTGAGATGCAGATGTTTATGAGAAGATGCTGAATTGGATATATGGGTCTGGAGTTCTGAGGAGAGGCCAGAGCTGGCGGGAGATGTAAACTTAGGGGTCATTGCCACATCGATTACATTTAATATTTAAAGCCCTGGAAATTAGATAAATGTGGATGGACAAGTAAAGGGTACCTGCTTACGCTCAAAGTTGTTTTTTCCCCCATTCTGAGTTGGTATATGTATTTTTTCATTCTTACTTGGTATGTACTTGACTATAACTATTAGTTTTCTTAATAACTTATCACATATCTTTTTTTTTAAAGGTATTTTGTGTATTGACAGCTTTGACATTGTGGGTGATGGGGTTAAAGATTTGCTTGTTGGGAGAGATGATGGAATGGTCGAAGTGTATAGTTTTGATAATGCAAAGGAGCCTCTTCTACGATTTGATCAGGTAAGGTTCATTAAAGACTATATGTGCTTATTATTTGTCAAATTATTATACTGATGACTGATGATTTGAATTTTAATAAGTGAGAATATGTTAAAATGTTATGTTTGGTTTAAAATATTGCCATTTCGATGTTATCAGAATCTTTAAACTGCTCTTGTGTTTGAATAATAGACTACTGCCTTCAAGCAGAATAATAAATTACTTTTTCATTATACTTTTAAATATTAGAAACTTCTAAAGTATTAAATATTTTAGTTTTTAATGTATAATAACACAGTATGGGAGTAACATTTTATATGTTTGGGTAATATAAATGAGACTTGTTTTAAAGCCATAAGATTTTAGGAATAACCTAACGGACAGTATCAGAAATGTCCTTAAGCAGAAAGGAAAAAGTAATTTCACTTTTAGCTACTAAAGTGCCAGCTTTATAAGAAGAAAGGCTAGATAAAAGTAACTTTAGTATACAAACTGTAAATGTAAGTAAGCTTATTTGTGCCAAGCTATAAAGTCATATACAGAAGCATTCTGGTATAAACTGAATGCTTCATTTTCATGGACTGGTGTTCTCCAATCCAGGGCTTCCCCAGCCTGCCTCATGCAGGAAGCACTGAGGCTGTTTACAAAAGAAAAAGTCCATAACTCAGTCTCAACTCTTTTCTTTTTCTTTTTTTTTTTCTAATTTCTCTTAATAGTGATATATCCCAATCCCAACTTAGTTTAACTGCAGTTCAGCAAATACAAGTGATTTGGAGCATAGGTAAAATATACAGATAATATGAGGATAAAAATGTTACACAGTTGAGTTTATGTTATAGATTTATTTCAAATTTATTCATCTTACCTTAGTGAAAAAAGTCATCCTGTTAATGATGCAAGTAATAGTTTAGGCTTCAAAGTATGTAATAATCCTTTGTTGATGATCTCCTGTTTTTTTTTCATCAGCCCTTAAGAAACTTTCTTATTTAGACTCCAGTCTTCTCTTTGACTTCTATTCTAAACTCCAATAACATCATAACATTTATCTGCTCTGCTAGGTCTGGCACTAAGAAATCCTATCTTCTCCCTATTTCTTCTGTTTGTTGGATGACAGAGGTACTGCTTTTAGGTTATGCTTAGGCTGGGAATAGTCTGCCTCATCTTGAATTTATTGTATTTTGACTTAAACTTAGATATTCTTTTGCCAGTATTTTCAGGAATGGCCAAGTTTGTAAGTTTAGTTCCATGTTGTTTTCTTACATAAACTGTATCCATACTATATTGTCTAGGATCTCTGATTTTATGGTTCCATTACTGGTGTTTAAAAAATATTAGTTGATTTAGATTTATCTAAATCTCTAAGAATTTTACAAAAATGTATTTAGAGTACATAAGATAAGTGAATTTCATTAAAATATTGGCAAAAATGTATTAGAAATGAACAGTTTTTAAGGTACTTCTAGGTGAAAGTAAAAGTTATAATAGTCACCTGAAAAACCATTCAGCAAGTGAGAATGTATGTAAATCTATTGACTGAGTAAAACATCTTTCTGCAAGTCAGGTGATTTCCAGTGTTTTGCATTCAATAAATTAAAGGAGGACCTAAC